TCACCAGAATTCAACAAGGTAAACAGTTCCACAAGGCATAGCACAAAGCATATTCTATCCAGAACTCAACAAGATAAACAGTTCCACAAGGCATAGCACAAAGCATACTCTATCCAGAACTCAACAAGATAAACAGTTCCACAAGGCATAGCACAAAGCATACTCTATCCAGAATTCAACAAGATAAACAGTTTCACAAGGCATAGCACAAAGCATATTCTATCCAGAACTCAACAAGATAAACAGTTCCACAAGGGCATAGCACAAAGCATACTCTATCCAGAACTCAACAAGATAAACAGTTCCACAAGGCATAGCACAAAGCATACTCTATCCAGAACTCAACAAGATAAACAGTACCACAAGGCCATGTATGTAAATGTGTCGAAATGGGCGTAGTGCGAGTGGTTAGTGCTAGTAGCACTAATTTGAAAAAGTACTAGATCTAGTGCTAAAATGGCACTAGATCTAGCGCTAAAATGGCACTAGATCTAGTGCTGACAAGGCACTAGATCTAGTGCTAAAATGTGCACAGTGCGAGTGGCACTGTTATCGCATTGTCAACGACGTCAAGACATCCCGTAATTCTCTGAAAATAAATTAATATTTACCGTTTTTTTTACGTAAAATTGTTGTATCTTTCATTCATTGGAAATGTGCTACAGTGGGAAAATTGAGAATGTCATTGTTCACGTTTGTCGTAATACTAATAGACCTTTGGAACAACTCGATCGGCCGGGAAACTAGCCAAAACAGTGAAACTGCAGGTCGAACTGCGCAATTTTTTCAAATTGTGAATAGATAAACTGTATGAAATGGTATTGTGGGGGAAGTCCCGGGTCCCTGTAAAGCTCGGTATATTTTAAGAGATTTTCATACCTGATGTGTGGTATTACCTACAGCTTCATGAAGATTCTGGGTTTGATTTCTATGATCAGCTGCCCACTCAGTATTGAAATACCTGTATATACATGTACTAACCACTTGCCAACTTGTATCCTTCCTATTTGGTAGAACTGCATCCAGTTTTAAAGATTTGATAAAGATTTTTGGTTGGTTTTCATATGTATGTGTGCTGCCCTGTCAATGTACATACAAAACTGACATGGTGATAGCGGATAACTGTGGCATTAAACTTTACTCTTCAGTGACATGCTGGAGCTAAGATTTAACAGTAAACCTACAAAAAATAAAGTATAATAAAAGTATATATTAGATTAAAGAAGCATATAAATACCTTTCTATCAGCTGGCATTGACTTATCATAAAGACTTTTATTTGTGAAATGCAAATCGAGCCTACTACTGATGAAGAAACATTACAAACACAGACTCCCTTTTCAATGCCTTCCGGATTCTCTTGTTCTTTCTCCTGTACTAAAAAAACAGACGTCGACACCACAGTGACTGCATCTCGAACGACAACTGGGACAATGCCAATAACTACAAAAAGAACTGTTAGCAAAGTGAAAATACGGAAACCTCCCGTTTTCACACTGCCGTCCGCGATCTCTTGTAGCTCTTTCTCCTTTTCCAAGGGGTTAGAGGGAGCGTCCAGTGCACCAGCTGATATATTCCACAAGTAAAATCAGACATCTGCCAATTGCGCCGAGGAAGTAGACGACATGGAGTCTATTGCGTCAGACGTCTCAAACTTATCACAGATTATACAAGATGACTATCCTAAGGAAACTGACAATCAGCTATCTAACGAACCTCTTATGTTGTTCGTGGAAGAATCGGTTAACTCCAAAAGAATTTTTGATCATGCGACTGAGTTCTGCCCTGATCTCAGATTGCTTATAAGATCACTAACAAATCTACGCAAAAACACTGACACTAATCCAACGATTAACTTCAAAGCTAGGAAAATACTTTATGAAGACTACTCAGCCAAGACAAAAAGATGCATATGACGCTGAAACTCGCCATACCCCAATTGATGAAAAACTGGATGTTCAAAATAGAATAACTGACACTTAATCTGCACATCCCATGAACGCGATTGACTACACGATTAATGCTTTCATAATTCGATTTTTTGTGTGTGTTGTTCATTGGTACTATAACTATAACCAGTGTAGCTCAATTTAAATTATTTAATTTGTAAATAGCAAGATATGAAATGTAAAGTTTTTTTTTATAATCGAGAATAAACAAAAACCATGTATGTATGTACGTATATATGTATGTATGTCACTTTTTTTGTTCCACCGTTATCTCAAGAACCACTAATCAAATTTTGGTGAAACTTAGTACATAGATGCTCTGGGATAATGCACAGAGTTGATTAGGTTTTGGTAAAAATCCATGAATATTAATTACTTAATTTGCATGATAATTAGCTGACTTTTAGTTGTTTCATGACTGTTCCACTGGTATCTGAAGAACCACTCATTGGACTTTGATGAAACTTGGCACATAGATGCTCTGAACTAATGCGCAGATTTGATTAGTTTTGGGTAAAAATCTGTTTATATTAATTACGTAATTTGCATAATTAATTAATTTTCAGCTTTTGATATTTCGAGTAGTAATGATCACGTTTCAATGAAACTTGGTACATAGTTACTTGAGGACTGTGCAGAGACCTAATTAGTTTTTGGATAAATATTTGTGCATATTAATCACCTTATTAGCATAATTAGTTAATTTTCAGCTTTTCACCTGATATCTCAAGTACTAATCATCACATTTCAATGAGACTTGTGACATAGATCTTCTAGAACTATGCAGAGACCTGATTAATTTTGGGTAAAAATCTGTTTATATTAATTACCTAATTTGCATAATTAATTAATTTTCAGCTTTTGATATTTCGAGTAGTAATGATCATGTTTCAATGAAACTTGGTACATAGTTACTTGAGGACTGTGCAGAGACCTAATTAGTTTTTGGATAAATATTTGTGCATATTAATCACCTCATTAGCATATTTAGTTAATTTTCAGCTTTTCACCTGATATCTCAAGTACTAATCATCACATTTCAATGAGACTTGTGACATAGATCTTCTAGGACTATACAGAGACCTGATTAATTTTAGGATAAATAATTGTGCATATTAATTACCTAATTTGCATAATTAGTTAATTTTTTGCTCTTCGGTGGCTGTTGCACTGATGTCTAAAAAAACACTCATTGGATTATAATGAAACTTTTAAAGAGTACCCATCACATTTCAATGAACCTAGGACTATACACCATATTAATTTTTGGTAAATATTTATGCTTCTTAATCACCTAATTAACATAATTAATTAATACTAATATCTCAAGTATTGATCATCACATTTGAATAAAACTTGGTACATAAATTCTCTAGGACAATAGACAGCCTGATTAATTTTAGGTTCAAATCTGTTCATATTAATTTTCTAATTAATATTTTTTGGTTCTAATCACATTTCAATGAAACTTGGTACATTGTGCAGACTTTATTAGTTTTACACAGAAATCTGTTCTTATTAGTTACCTTATTTGCATAATTAGTTTTCTATGTTTCCATCAGTATCTCAAGTTTAAGTAATTTTGAATTAATTTTCAATGTGTCTCCAATACTCTCAGCACATGGGAGTTCTTTCTAAGCTTTCTTTGATTTTTGTTTTGAATTTGACGAAAGTTGATTTTAGTGTTCAAATTTATATGTGTATATGCTATTTCCCTGAGCTATTAGATTTAAATGTACAAGAGTAATTTTGCATCAATGCCGCTGTGTGCCCCAAGTGATGTTGGCAATGTTGAGCTATGGCAAGTAATGTGTTTCCCAGAGAAGTTGTGTACATAAACATAATCTGAGGATGTAGTAGTGATTGTACCCATACATTGCTAAGCAAGAAAAATTTTTGAAAAATGTATATGCATTTCATTTCCTGTTGGCCAGGGAACAAGCATACAAATGTACATCTATACATTTCAAACTGTGTGGGCCAGGGAACCAGCATACGAATGTATATCTATACCTTTCAAACGGTGTGGGCCAGGGAACAAGCGTACAAATGTACATCTATACATTTCAAACTGTGTGGGCCAGGGAACAAGCGTACAAATGTATATCTATACATTTCAAACTTTGTGGGCCAGGGAACCAGCATACGAATGTATATCTATACCTTTCAATCTGTGTGGGCCAGAGAACCAGTATACGAATGTATATATATACATTTCAAACTGTGTGGGCCTGGGAACAAGCATACAAATGTACATCTATACATTTCAAACTGTGTGGGCCAGGGAACCAGCATATGAATGTATATCTTTACATTTCAAACTGTGTGGGCCAGGGAACAAGCATACAAATGTATATCTAAACATTTCAAACTGTGTGGGCCAGGGAACAAGCATAGTCAGTCTATTATCGGGTACTGAGTTGTTAATTATTCAGTTGATGTACAACACCTCCATACTTTGAAGAAGTCTCATTTATTTTAATTTTGTTAAAGTATTCCTTGAAGATTAAACTGAAAATTGGGATTTAATTTAATGTTTAATTATAAATTGTCTATAGGGTCATGTCTTTCATTTTTCATGCAAAGATGTACAGTTTGCTGACTGACATTTGGATAACTGTAATAATGTTAACATGTATATTTTGGTATTTCACAACTCTGATTTCTCCAATTAAATACATGTAAGAATCAATCATTTTTGTCAAATTTAACAAAATTATCTTTGAATGAAATAAATTATTACTGCACTATATATTATAATATTATATACAATAAGAAGACAGTTATTTGTGAGACAGTGTCAGAGCCACAGGCAAGCACATCATCAAATACAGACTTATCTCTTTTCTGTTTCTGATCACAGTAATAACAACTTTGCATGCTGGGAATGTGTAATACTTGGGGTTTAATCCTATTGAACGCAATCTTTTTTCTGTCAAAACTCTGATGTAGTATTTTGCAAATTTGTTTTGATTGTCTTTTCCTTTAATTTCCTTGTTAATTTTAGACCCAATGGACATAATAGCCCATTTGCTAGAGGTCTTGATCAAAATTATTGAAAAATTGCGAAAAAAATCAAACAACAATCAAAATACAGTAACTAATAGTGAATAAAAACCTAAAATATGTCATGAAAGCTATATCTTTACCACGAAACCTAAACAAAATCAGATTATTTCCAGTGGGATCTTTCACATGCAAGAGAACTTCTTATTCTAGCTTCAACCAATCATATGTCAAATTTCCAATATGTGTCATATAGTAGGAGAAGAATGAAATATGAGATACCGTCATGTAGAAACTAACGACAAACTTAATTGATGATGCACAGTTGGTAACTACCAGCTACAAAAAATAATGTCTGAAAAATGCCATTTACTGTATCTACTTTTATCTAATAATGGCGAATAGTACGGTCATAATAATCTGCAATGACACCTACAAGTCTGTCTTAAATGGACCTGAAAATAACAAGTGTTATTGTTACTTTGCAGACATCTGCTTGCTTCTCATTTATCAGCAATTGAAAGCTTTTTAAATCCTCCCGAAAACTGTAAATGATAACAGTAGATAGAGCTGCAATGTAGAAAATTTCAGGCTTTGTCTTTTCGCCCAAAGATTAATGAGAAATCTAATTCTTGATGATACTCTTTCACTGCTTCTGACATTTTTTGACAACTTTCGCGACATAAACTTACAAAATCTCTCCTCACTTCCTTGATGCGAAATTTTTTTAAAATTCTTAAAGCATTTGATCAATGTCAAATTATTTAATTATAAAAACTCTAGATATTGGAAAATGTTATTAATCAAGTGGATTTATTTAAAAAACAATGATGTAATTAAATACCGGGTTTACTGAGTAAACACACCAAAATATTACTTCATATTTATTTCTGCATGAAGAGATTTTGAATTTGTAATAAATTAAATTTACAGAAATGTATATCATAAGTATATTTACTCAAAAAGATCATTGAATGTTCCATTCAAATTGCCAGCATATGTGACCACCCTCCTTGTTGTCTTTGTTTGTGACTGAGATTTGGCACATAACTGTGTAATGTGCTGTAAATCCTGACGTCCCAGATGGGATTAAGATAGCAACGATGGTGAGTGTGGTCATGTATATTTCATGCTTAATCACCAAATGCAGGTAAAATAAACCTAGAGGAAAAGGATTGTAATTCCTTGTCATGGATATCTTAGTCCTTTGAGTGCTGAACTATGACCTTTAGTGAAATGAACACTCACCAAATAGAATCAGATTACCTCCCTTAAAGCATCAGAGTTCACCAAAGGTCAGATGTCATTGAGGAGCATGTTATGCCATGCAAGTGTGTCATCATTAGACACAAGTAGCACATGAAAGTCAATGAATGTGCATGTCATTGTTATGAGATTTATTAGAAATCGATGGTGGCAAATTTAAAGAAAACAACAATCTGCAAAGACAAAAATAAGAAAAAGATTCTGCATACAGTAACTGAATGCATGAATAAAATAATACAGAAAGATAAAAACAAAGGCAGCAATTTTATCCCAAAAAAAAGCTTGTTTGAAATTGCTTCTTTGAATAGCTGATTTTATTTTTTCTCAGCCATCTCCTCCAAGTTTGTAAAATGATCTACCCTTAGAAATAATATAACTATGTAACCAGACTAAACCAAAAGAGAAAATTGAACAGTTTACAGTTGTGTGCTGCTGGTAAACTCTTCTCCATTTCGGTTTTGGCTTGGTACTGACAAGCTCTGCTATACCTCACTGTTTTAAAACAATTCAACCATCTTGCATGTAACTGAAGACTGTCATTTTTCCTAGTACTAAAATATAATACTTCTTTGTTAATTTGGTTCCTGTGGCTTGATAAAATTTCATGAAATTCTTGGATTGAAATGTGCTTTGCAGTGGGCCTATCTCAGCGAAAAGCTGCTTCTCTGTTTGCCAGAATTGAAGTCATCAAAAGTTCCTCACAAGAAATGGCTTTGCAACTCCATTTAAAACTAACTCTTTTTGCTATAAACATTGATTAAAGTGAGGTGTTCATATTTATTCAGTACAGTGAATTACAACAGCACAACTACCGGATTCTGTGTAAATTCGTCCTGGGCTGTTAATTGGTAGTTTAGGTTTTTTAAAAAAATAGGGCAGCAGTTTTTTAACGTGTTATTTTAATCTTCCTGATGCCTAAAAGTTTCACTGTAGTCATTGACGCCTATTCAAGAGTATGTTTATTGGACTATCGTGAATGGGTAAGCTTCGTTTCACAATGAGCTGTTATCACTGTAAACTATATTAAATTATTCTTCAAATGCCCAGTTTATCTTTTGAAAACACTATTTTTTTTATTTAATAACAAATCATGCCACTTTCCCATCAAAATCCAAGCCAAAAGACAGCATCAAGCGTTTAAAATGCGGACAGAATCATTCGTTTACGACTGGGTGAAATAAGTTTAAATTTATTTGCATTTCATAACAATTCAACGATTTTATTGTTTGCACGTTATTATACTCATTACTAGGTAATAATCAACAATTGTGAAACCGGATTGCGCTACCGCGATCATTTGCTAATGCAGTTGTGTTCGTTTTTATTTGAAACTTCTTTTAGAATATACTTTCGCTACTAATAAAATGAAAAAAAAAAATAATTGTATTTGGCACTGGGTGACACTGTAATGAAATTTTAGGCGATCTAATTTTTAATTCAGCAAGAAAAAAAAAATGTATAAAATTTTAGATTAGCTTCTGCAATAGTTTCTTTCGTTTTAAGTGGTCCAACAGCTGGCATTGGAAGTCCATGTAGCTGGATTTTTCAATGAAAATACAAGTC